TTTATCCCTGATTTCATTCTAAAATTGAATGAGGTCTATAAATAGATTTATATAACTTGCATTATAGTTAAATGTATATACTTTTTAGAGACCTTGAATATTTCATCTACAAGAAATTTATTGGTGCCCTAGAATGGAATCTTTATTGCTTTAAAGAAAAGATGCATAACTTTTGTACAGGCAATATAGCATGATGGCTTTTAAGCATCTTACATAGGACACAGCTATTTTAGTTAAGAGATGAGCATAACTGTGCTGCACAGTTATGAAGGGAAACTGCAAGTAGCCCTTGGCTTTCCAAGAGCAAAACAAAATTGCTGGTACAGGGGTGTTCAAGATGTAAGTGGATGTGGCAGTCAGTAAGGAAGTCTGAAAACATGCATTTGGAACTAATGTAAGTGGATGTGGCAGTCTCTAAAATTACTCATTCCTTTAACAACTCTGAGTCAGTGCTTAGAAGAGGAGACACTAATTAGATGTAGAAACGAAAACAAGGGTCTAAAATGGGTACCTCATACAGATCATCCTAGCCTAGCTTTCAGCCTCTAGCACTTTAAGCAGGAAAAAGAATTTTCACACCAGCTTTATGTGAAAATAAGGAAAGGTACATTGATAGCCTTTTCTTGACACTGAGATGAATCTGATAGAACTGAGTGTTTTCAGAGACCCTGTGAAAGACTGTGTTACTTAACATTTTGTCCAAGTTCGGTTCTGTTTAGTTCTTAAATATGAGGGAATCTGTTTAGCTGTACAAATAAGTAGGAAGCAGTTGTTGAAAATGAAGCATTGTTAAATATTTCTTTAATTGTGTTTGTGTGTATTTTTTGTTACCAAAAAGATTACGGATAACTACAGTAAAGATGAATTAAAGACTCTGCTCTTGTAAGAGATTAATACGGTATGTCGAAATGCTTTTACCACTAGCCTGAACATGGCATCATTCTGCAACATCAGGATCACTCGCAAAATACTCTGGGCTTCCCCATTTAATAGCTATATATCTCCTAGGTGCAGCTTCCACACTAGATAAATACTGAGGGGTAATTTGGGAATGAGTTTCTCTTGGGTCGGGGATGTTAATAATAGTGTAATTAATAGACAAGGATATAGTTATCACAGCAGTTTCTCAAAGGGGATAGTGGATTGTATGTCAATGATGTTTCAATTTAATAGCTGAATATGGAAGGAATCTTCATGAAACTGCTTCTTGAAGATGTGGCCATTTTTGTACTGAAGAGCTGAATGCTCTTCTGAAAGCTGTTCTGCCAAGGATTTTCAACAGGCCTTAATATTTTCCTGTAGTTTATTCTGTTTCATGTTTCAGAAGTCAACTGAAACAGTTATTTCAGGTCATGAGAAAATCTTAAATTAGGTGTTGTATTTCTTTTTCAAAGTACAGGTTAGTATTGGGTAAGACATGTGGGTGTGGGGGGTGTGTCAGTTATCACGTTATCTGCTATCTCCTTTCTTTTTGAAGAGTTAAAACAAAAAATGCACACACATAAAGTGCAGGAGTTAGGTGCTACCAATGCTTTACAGTCATCTTGGTGATTTGTGGGTAAGGGTGATTCATCAAATATCCTATATTTAAATATCTTACACAACTGAATAATAAAAACCGCAGAAACAGGACAAACTCCAAAAGGCATAATATGCTGTCAGACAAACAGCATTAACTTGAAAGGATTTTATTTACAAGTAAGATACAGTTTTTTAACATCTGCTTTTAATAGTAGGCTCCCTTTAAAGCATGAAATTTCCCAAATGAAGAATATGCAATGAGTTTCCTTTTACGTGGAGTCTGCTGCTTGGCTGGCCATTCATTGTCATGGAGTCTAAATATTGCTAGGGGAAGCAATTTTTTTTTGCTGATGTAGTTAATGCTTTAGAGTTCACAGAGGTTTATTCTAGCATTATAAGAATAAAGAATATAACCTGCTTGATGTGCATTTATCCACCAGTCGTACCACTGCCATAACAGACTGCGATTGTTCTTTGTCTTATGCATGCCACTTCCTTTGACAGAGCTGCCATTCATACTGTTGGTTCCAGGTGGTATTCTTTCAACTCCTGTCTGCTCTACTGCTCAGACTGCACTCTTCCTAATATTTTTTTGATTTGTTTTTTGAAAAACTTAGTAACCTGCAACACTTTCCTCCCGTTAACAGTTTTCAGGGTGTGCACAGCTTGTGAAGGTCATATCACTTTTCCTCACAAGTCCAGACAGAGAAACATTGAATTTGGGGGCAAAAAAGTCTGTGTAGAGCATCAGGACAAAGTGATTTTTATTTTTTTTTTTTATAAGTTGACTGTTTCTCAAGGAGTGTGTTAATATGAATTTAGTCATTCTGAAAGTTGTGTAGAAATCAAGGGCTAATGAATAGGCATCTCCAGTCATGCTGGAGATGAGCTGACTGATGATGTAAAGAGAAGGCCTGTCGAGAAGACTGAATCCTGTTGTTGGTCCAGACTAGAAGCCATGGATGCAACTTTCACTCTTTTTCCAGAGCTCATTTTGCTGTGATCACAGGGGATACAGAAGGTAAACTGTCCTCTGTTTTCTTAATATCTTGCTAGCTCCAGCTTGGAAGTCTGGTAGAGGAAATAGGCCATGTCCTGAAAGTTCAAAGGGGGAGGGAGAACCATCGTATTAGCAAGTAATATCCTTTCCCTGATTCAGGTGATAAGAAGGAGAAGTAGTGGATTGTTTGGAAAGATTTAAATGTAGGGTGGTTGTCTTTTCTTTCAGCAGCACTAGGGATGTGCCATCTATCTTAGTGGTTGATTTGTTTGTTTTAAAGATAAACATGGGGGATAAAAGCTCAGTTACAGTCTGCAAAGGGAAGTTTCTTAACCTGTTTGCTAAGGCGTTCTTCTCCATCCCGATAGCGCCAGAGTGCAGGCCACAGTTTGCGTTCACTTGGAGAGGCATCCAGTACACCTGGAATTGATTGCCCCAGGGGTGGAACCACAGCTCCACCATTTGCCATGGACTGGTCCATACTGCACTGGAGAAAGGTGGGGCTCCAGAACACCTGCAGTATATTGATGACATCATTGTATGGGGGGATACAGCTGAGGAAGTCTTTGAGAAAGAGAAGAAGATAATTAAAATCCTCCTGAAGGCCGGCTTTGCCATTAAGCAAAAGAAAGTTAAGGGGCCTGCAAGGGAAATTCAGTTCCTAGGAATAAAATGGCAAGAATGGTGTTGCCACATCCCAATGGAGGTGATAAACAAGATAACAGCCATGGCCCCACCAACCTCTAAAAAGGAGACGCAGTCTTTCCTGGGCGCTGTGGGGTTCTGGAGGATGCACATCCTGAACTACAGCCTGATTGTAAGCCCTCTCTAC